CGTGAGCCACCACACCCAGCCATTCCATTTAATTCTTATAACAAGCCTATGAGGTGGGCACTATTATTATAATCTTTTTAAAAATATGGAGCCCTTTGGAAGTAGAATAAGTCTTTCAAGGTTGCACAGCCAGAAAGCAGCAGCAGGATGGGTTCAAGTTCAGGTCTAAGTGGCCGCAGGGCCTAAGCCACTGCCAAGCATGGTGCTGTTAGCCTGGCACTGGGCACTGGATGGTCTCGGCCTAGATACCCACTTTATAACTAAGCAGAACACTCCTCTGCATGTCAGTCTGTAAACTTACAGAGCAATTTCAGGTAGAAGGAAGCCATGTCTTAGTTTATTATTTCGCCGATACAGAATGTGGCTTTAAAAAGTCAACTACAGTTCTAAAGGAATACAATTTTTGTACAACTTTGTTTGGTGCCTGAAAATCACGAGTAGGTTAGCAAAGTCAGAGCAACACTATCCACAGAAGATAGCCAGGCATGTAAAAATCAACACCTTTGAACGCCCAGCAGTTCCTATTCTATTATGGCTCTGACTTTGCCAGACCCCAAGATGCCAACAACACTATGTAATAAAGTGATATGACCAGTTTTTCTTCAAATTGATTTCTGTTATAGAAGAAAGTCCATATGTCTTTCAGAACAATCCCAATGGATATGAGACTACATTTTAGAAATACGTTACTATTATTATTAAAAGTGCATATGTATTATACATATGGTGTATAGATAGATAGATAATAGATGCAAATATAGATGAATGTGCCTTTGGCGTGGCTCAAGCCTGTAATCCCAGCACTTTGGGAGGCCGAGGTGGGTGGATCACGAGGTCAAGAGATCGAGACCATCCTGGTCAACATGGTGAAACCCCGTCTCTACTAAAAATACAAAAAATTAGCTGGGCATGAACCCAGGAGGCGGAGGTTGCGGTGAGCCGAGATCACGCCATTGCACTCCAGCCTGGGTAACAAGAGCGAAACTCTGTCTCAAAAAAAAAGGCAAAACTAATTCTGGTAAGAAGTCATGCCAGGACAGTGCCTGCCGTAGCCAAGTCTACAGAAATACTTATATAGAAACACGTAACAGATCCGTGACTCCACCGTGGAAGATGGCTTTATTTTATTAAAATTCTGATACAAAAACTTTCAGTGGAACACTTTATGTTAAAAATAACTCGTTTTAGTTCTGCTGAAATACAGATTTGTGTAAAAGGCACATCTCCTTTGAGGATACAATTTTTGGAAGCTTGGAATGTCAAAGCCAAACAAACCTACCCTTAAGTAACAGACTTTTGAATACATAAAAATTCAGCTGTCCTGGGAGCCATTACGTCTCCTGCCTCCTTCCACGCAGAATGAATGCTCCCTGGCCCCAGCTGCAGAGGTCAAAGCAGCCGAAACAGGGCAGCTAACAGCAAGGCCAGGAGAGTGAGAGGAGGATGGGAACGGGGTAGTCCCTCCTGAAGCTCTTTGGCTATTTGCAAAAAAAAAAAAAAAGGACACCAGAAATTAGAGGGCATGGGACCCTTAATTAGACCCTTTTCTGTGGTTGGTTGGAAGGTCTAAAGCTAAGGAAAAAAAATCAAAGCTATGAATGACAAATATGAGCATCCTGAAGTCTGCACGGTGTCTCGCTCTGATGTGGAAGAAGGAGTGAGGAAAGGAAAGACGAGAATTAGTGGAAAAGGTACAGATCTGTGTTTTCAAAATTAAGAAAACATCTTAGTTTTCTTGTATATGAACAACATACATTTAAATATTTCAGTAGGGAGATTTTTATTTTTAAAGGACAATTGTGCTTTCCTCCCCATCCAAAAACCACCTAGGTCCTGAGACTTAGAGCTCAGGGCTATGCCCTTCTCCCGCCACCTGGTGGAGCACATGCACCGGTGACAGAGGCCACTGGGGGTCACAAAGCTCCAGGTCTGAGGAGATCCCGCTCAGAGATCCATTGTCTTATGAAGACAAATCTGACTCTGACAATATTTGCAACGAATTAATTGGCTAATTTCTCATGAATAGTGACAAGGAAGAAGAATTGAGGGGTTTGAGCAATGCTGTTTCTGGGGTGCTGTGTCTGTTGACATGGTGACAGAGTGGGACACTGACTTCGTCACCCTCAGAGGTTGCTTTCCAATAAAGGTACTTGCTATATCTTTCAACCCTCTAAGAAGCCTGAGAGGAGAAACTAGCATGTCACTAAAGATCTCATCTTTACAGCTATGTTTGTTCCTTGCACTGTGGAATTTGACTTAATCCCAAGGTTTTTGCTGTTGTTGTTTCAGAGAATCTCGCTCTGTCACCCAGGCTGGAGTACAGTGGTGTGATCTCTGCTCACTGCAACACCTCAACCTCTGCCTCCTGGGTTCAAGTGATTCTCCTGCCTCAGCCTCCTGAGTAGCTGGGACTACAGAGGCCCACCACCCTGCCTGGCTAAGTTTTGTATTTTTAATAGAGATGGGCTTTCGCCACGTTACCCAAGATGGTCTCAAACTCCTGACATCAAGTGATCTACCCACCTCAGCCTCCCAAAACGCTGCGATTACAGGCATGAGTCATGAGTTTTCTTAATCGCGTGGGATTTTCAATCAGCCTGACTTATGCTGGGACTCCAGCTGTAGCATAAGCATACACTAGCTAAGAGGTGAGGGGCAGGTGACAACCTCTCAGGGCTCTCACTTAAAACGGAAATAAGAATACTTTTCTTTTCTTTTTTTTTTTTTTTTTGAGACGGAGTTTCACTCTTGTTACCCAGGCTGCAGTGCAATGGCGCAATCTCGGCTCATGGCAACCTCCGCCTCCTGGGTTCAAGCAATTCTCCTGCCTCAGCCTCCCGAGTAGGTGGGATTACAGGCACGCGCCACCATGCCCAGCTAATTTTTTCTTGTATTTTTAGTAGAGATGGGGTTTCACCATGTTGACAGGATGGTCTCGATCTCTTGACCTCGTGATCCACCCGCCTCGGCCTCCCAAAGTGCTGGGATTACAGGCGTGAGCCACCGCGCCCGGCCCGAGAATACTTTTCTTAAAGGTCGTTGAACAGGGATAAGGGTGTATGAAAGCCAGTCAATAAATGATGCAATTATTCTTGCTCTCATTCCATTAAAGACACGAGAAGCAGCTCCCTCCATGTCAGGGTCCTTTATGGGGGGATCATCGCCAGGCTCCGGCTATCTAAGGGCAGAAGCCAAGCCTTCCACACAGACTGCGCTGGCCTTGGCTTTGCCGGCTTGTTCGGAAAACTCCTGTGCCAAGTTCCTAGAGTCTGTCTCTCCCCATTTCTGACTGATGCAGTAAAATATTAACACAACATATTAGGCATAAGCACTTTTAGAGTTTTGAGTTTTACAAATTGGTATCAGATGAAACGAAATATCTATCATCTGCAATGAATTCTATTGTTCCCAGAGGGGCAGATCAATCTCAAGGCATAATGATAGTCCTGCCCGCCATGCCCTCTGAAGATGTATGTCTGCTTGGTAACGAATAGGATAATTCCTCTCTACTGAGAACATTTGGGTTTCTATTTAAACACACTTTTAATGAAAAACGTGCATGGATACTTTATTTTTGCAGCACAGGCCATCCTTGCTTTCTTTGGGTTTCATTTTTCTAACAATCCAACAGAAACGATCAGTCACATTTTGCTGAAGATCAACATCTGTCATCCCTTTGTCTAAAGCCCACACGAATTTTTTTATCCATGTTTGTTTTCCAAGGACATGCCTGTATTCTAAGCTGTGTGGAAAACAGACAGCGGCAGTTATAAGCAGTCACGCTGTGATTAAAGCTCGCCTATGGAACAATGCTTCTGAGCCACTCCTGCTGTTTAAGTTTGCTTGGGAAATGAGGATGCCTCCGCCTGGATATTCACGGGGATCCTGCACAACACTGCCTGAAGCACACTTCAGTTTCTTTACAAACCTTTCCTGAGCACCTCACCTTTGCAAGGTACCATGACAGAAACCACGGAAGACATGAAAGAGAAACATGAGGTGGGGAACAGGAAGGTCAGGAGAAGGGAATGAGAACAGGGGAGGGGAGGAGGAGGGAGGAGGAGGCAAAGAAAGAATAAAGATGAAAACAACAAAAAGTCCAGCCTGACAGGCTTTCCTAGTTCTGCAACTGTTATCTGTGTCTGACTCAACACGTGGCTTCACCAAACTCTACCCAGCGTCTTTCCTGCCCTGGGTTCCAAAGGTGAAGCTGATCATGCATCTGAGTGTTGTGTCGGGGACGTCTGCCCAGCACTGAAAACTAAACTCGCTCCCGCTCCGGACAATACATTTTTGAGAGATGGGATGAATTTAGCAGTGCAATCTGGGTCATGAAACAGCCTGAAGCAGGGTGGCCAGTCAAAAGCAGGCACTGAAACCCGGCTCCCAGGAGCACAACCAAGCTCAGAAAAGACTATATAACAAGAGCACATACGCCCCTGAAACCCCATCAGCGTGATGGGCAGAGCAGCTCTAGTACCACCTGCTGAGATGGAATTGCTCAACCCACCCCATTCCCAAGGCACTGCTGAATTTGTGACCAGAACAGTTTACCTTAATCCCACAAGTATGTTCGGGATTTGTTTCTGATGACATGTGGTGGGCTGAGAGGGGCTCCTGCTGCTGTAGCATGGGTATAACCAGGAGCCCTCATGGGAAGCCAAGGGCCACCCCACTGTGCCTGAGATGAGGCTGCAGGTGATTCCGAAGCAGACGGGAATTTCCTGCTCTGCAGAACCTCCAGGGTCAACCGAAGGACCCAGCACAGGAGCAGAGCAGAGTTGCTGTCTAGGAAGGGGGCTTCAGAAATGGCAAGTGAGTGGACTCAAGTGACCCTCTGGCATCCTTAGGGTCATTACGTAGGGAGAGTCCCAGAGCTCCTGCAGTGTGAGAAGCTGACATGCCATTTCCCGCCCTAAGGGTTAAGCAGCTGGTCCATGTTCTACCCTTCACTTTGCCCTGTACATTTCTAATTAAAAGAAAGGAAAGAACACTCTTACCCATGAGGAATTTTGCTCAGGACATAATATCCAGTATAGGAGTGTTGATATATCTGCAACAGACAAAAAGGAAAGAAAGCAGGCATTGAGACAGAGGCGGTGACTACGATATTTTTCAAATCGCTGTGAACCCTAACAAACATCAGACTGAAAGCAGCTAATCCCAACACCTGGAGGCAAAGTCTTCTATTTACTTAGGAAGTCAATTTGCATATCCTGTTTATTTTATTTTCAGCATTTGCAGTGGTTTATAGGGCAGCCAGAAGCTTGATGTCATCTCCATGGCTACCTGGTATGTGATTAAATTAGAGGCACAGATTTCAGGCTTAACTAAATATAGTACAGAACTAATGAGGACACTGTGGTCATTGGAGACTGTCAGGCACAGTCAGTGAGACCCAGCGGGTCAGTAGGACCCGTGTACGGCTGGAGTTCCCTCTGAGTGACGGCAGGGGGTCCACCAGAACTTCCACTGTGTGCCTTCAGTGAGTTGCAGTATTGAAGTCAAGGCAGTCTTAATTGGGCGCACTTTTGACCTTCTGTACAATGAGACATGCATCTTTTAGTTTCAAAAAGAGTAGTCAACAAGAGCTGACTAAAAAAGGGCAGTTGGAAGTATCACAGCTTTAAAACGGAGGTAACAGAAAACCAGAAAACAGTGCTTCCAAACTCCTGTAACCCTCAAATCTCAGATGCCTTTCTTAACCTCCTGAGCCAGGAAACGACTCCGCAATCCACAGACACCATGAACAGAATTCGAGGGTTACACCGAAAGAAGGGAGAAGATGGTAGTTCAGGAAGGGTTAGCATCCTTCATCGCCAGCCTCCTGGGTAGACTGTGTTGAATACACAGAACATGTGGGTTACTCTGCTGCATGGAACCGTATTTCATTCCCTCCCAAGCCTTTCCTTTACCTGAGAAACCTCTGAGAGCTGGCACCCCATGTGGCTAAATGTTCAGTGACCAACATTTAAAACCACCTTTCTAAAGATAACAGGTGAGGGACATGGAGGCAAAAGCATTCATATCCAAGGTAGAGTACATTGAACAGGGCAATGCATTTGAGGCACTGATGATGGAAATGAGCCTGCAAAGCAAACAGGTAGGATTTGCTAACACCACCATTCCCCAGCTAGCCTAGACCGCTAAATTAACTTCTAGAAAATCACAATGGTCTTGGAGTTATTTGGAGAAAGAAGACCCAGATATAAAGATAAACAACAGCACTTAAATCCCAACAATCTGGTGCTTTCAGAGACCTTGAGACTCCTGAATCAGAAATATGGGGCCCAGGGCAGGCAGCTTTGAGAGCGGCAGACGGGCAAGTGCGGCTTTAGTCATGAAGAAACAGCCACTAAGAGACAGACCTGCGCAGGAGACCTCTATGGAGCTGCCACAGCAAACCAATAAGGAACACAAGAACTTAACTCCTTTCGCTATTTCTGCCAGAATGAGTGGTGCTGCCTGGCCAGGGGAAGGAAGGAAGGGCCTGGTACTGGCTCCTGTGTCCTGAGCAGGTCACTGTTCAGAGAGCACTCATTAAAGAAGCCTGTGCTGCACTGTGAGTAAGCCATGCCTGCATGAGCTGGAATGGCTTCCTCAGATGCAAGAGCAGGAAGCTAGCCAGAGCAGATCTCAGGTTTCCATGGTTATGGTATACAGTATCTTATATAGAGCTTGGGAACTCTCCTTCCAAAACCGCCTTTCCATTTGATTGATCTCACTTTGTTTTCACGGCAGAAGTGACCTTTGGTCAGATAAGAAACCAAGGCACAGCAAGAGTAGAGGATGATGGAGGAAAGAGAAAGGGAAAAGAGGAAACAAGGAGAGAGGAGGGAAGACATGAAGACTAATTCTGTGCTCTTTAGAGTTGGCTGACTCAGTGACCCTCATGAACAGAAGATGGCAGCAGTGATGGTGTTACACCTCTAGGACCAGGTTAGAAGAGGTTTTGTGGCTTTCTTCTTGCTGTCCTTCATATTACTTGCTCTGAGGAGGCTGGCTGCCATGTTGTGAGGATACTCAAGCAGCCCTGTGGAGCATATGGGGCTCATCCCTGTGACACTGCCTCTTGCCAGCAGCCATGTGAGTGGATGTGGAAATGGGTCCCCATCTCCAGTCAAGCCTTTGGATTACTGCAGCCCTGGCTAATGCCTTGATGGTGGCCTCAAGAGGGACCCTGAGCCAGAGCCACGCAGCTAAGATGGTCCCAAGTCCCTGACCCACAGTGACTGTGAGATGATAAATGTTGGCTGCCTTAAGCCACTGAGTTTCTGGTAATTTCTTATATAGCAATAGGTAAGTCATATAGCTGCTTCAAATCCAGATAAAACAGATATTTTTAAAATCAGATGTAGATACATTTCTTCTGAGCTACTGGGTTTCTTCTTTGTAAACTTCCAGCAACTTCTAAAGCAAACAGATAAATTCCTTGTTGGAATAGTAACAGGACAGAGGTGCTGAGAGGCTGGGAGAAGACCACTCACAGACCAAATCACTCAGATGAAGCCTTTGATATTACTGCAGCCAACAGTCTGAAGTCCCAGAGAAGGTGACAGTGGTGAGCTGAAGTGGGTGGTGGGCGTGGATCTCATTTATGAAGCACGTGCCACATATTAGGTACTTTGCCAGCTCCTCACCATGCAAGAACTCATTTAGTCTTTATGAAGTAGATATTACTATCCCATTTTTACAGGTAGGAAAATAAAATCTTTTTTTTTTTGAGACAGAGTTTCACTCGTGTTACCCAGGCTGGAGTGCAATGGCGTGATCTCGGCTCACCGCAACCTCTGCCTCCTGGGTTCAGGCAATTCTCCTGCCTCAGCCTCCTGAGTAGCTGGGACTACAGGCATGCACCACCATGCCCAGCTAATTTTTTGTATTAGAGATGGGGTTTCACCATGTTGACCAGGATGGTCTCGATCTCTTAACCTCATGATCCACCCGCCTTGGCCTCCCAAAGTGCTGAGATTACAGGAGTGAGCCACCATGCCCAGCTAGGAAAATAAAATCTTAAGGAATTAAATTTAAAGCCAAGTGGGATTTGACCTGAGGTCTGTCTCTGAACATTCCCTTGGAAATTGCCTGAACCCAGCTTGTATCTCTGAACTCCCAAGTCAGAAGTCAGTTGTCAGGTGAAAATTCCAGGATAGCAACAAGTATAATAAATATGCAAAGAAAGAACACCTGCCATCTTTCTCGGTTAAAGGCCCATTGCTTTAATCTATCTAGAAACAGTGATTTAAATTCATTCCCTGGTTATACCTCCCCAAAACAAACACCTAGAGTTGTATTGTTACATTTATCTTTAAATATACCACTACCCATCCCTGCAATTCAGCTCTGTAGGTATTTTTTAAGTGGTGCCCATGAGAAAGGGGGAGATCAATTAAAATAACCCTGTCAAGGCCATGGCAAGAAGAAAGAAGAAAAAAGAGGAAAGAGGAAAGAGGAAGAAGGAAGGAAGGGAGGGTGGGAGGGAGGAAGGAAGGAAGGAAGAGAGGGAGGGAGGGAGGGAGGGAGGGGAGGAAGGGGAGAAAGGGAGGGAGGAAGGGAAGGAAAAAAGTATTGTTTTCAATTGTTTGTTTGTACTGTTAGGCAAGAAACCCCCAAACCAAAACAAGCCAAACCACATATGTACACACAGGGACTAGAACAGAATATCTGGAAAACGGAATCATCAGTAAGTAAGGCTGACACAAAAATGAATAAAGTCAAGAAGCAGAGAAAGAGAAAACCTGAGAAGCTGCATCTGCCACACTGAACTGCCCATAAAAAAGGCTGAAACAAAAATGAATAAAGTTGAGGAGGAGAGAGGAGAAAAGCTGAGAAGCTGGGTCCGCCAAGGGCAGGAATGTGAACGTGGTGTTCCAGAACACACTGCCGGTGCAAACAGACGCCTTCAGCAAGGAAGTGCAAGTGTGAGCCCAGCGCTACTCTTAAAAAATGGGGAAGTGGGTACATGAGGCCAACAAACGTATGAAAAAATGCTCATCATCACTGGTCATTAGAGAGATGCAAATCAAAACCACATTGAGATACCATCTCACGCCAGTTAGAATGGCGATCATTAAAAAATCTGGAGACAACAGATGCTGGAGAGGATGTGGAGAAATAGGAACACTTTTACACTGTTGGTGGGAGTGTAAATTAGTCCAACCATTGTGGAAGACAGTGTGGCGATTCCTCAAGGACCTAGAAATAGAAATTCCATTTGACCCAGCAATCCCATTACTGGGTATATATCCAAGGGACTATAAATCGTTCTACTATAAGGACACATGCACACGAATGTTCATTGCAGCACTGTTTACAATAGCAAAGACCTGGAACCAACCCATATGCCCATCGATGATAGACTGGACTGGGAAAATGTGGCACATATACACCATGGAATATTATGCAGCAATCAGAAATGATGAGTTCGTGTCGTTTGTAGGGACATGGATGAATCTGGAGAACATCATTCTCAGCAAACTGACACAAGAACAGAAAATGAAACACCGCATATTCTCACTCATAGGCGGGTGATGAACAGTGAGAACACATGGACACAGGGAAGGGAGTACTACACACTGGGGTCTATTGGGGGGAATAGGGGAGGGACAGTGGTGGGGGGGAGCTGGGGAGGGATAGCATGGGGAGAAATGCCAAATGTGGGTGAAGGGGAGGAAGGCAGCAAAACACACTGCCATGTGTGTACCTATGCAACTATCTTTCATGTTCTGCACATGTACCCCAAAACCTAAAATGCAATAAAAATAAAAATAAAAAAACGTGGAAGTGGGAAGAAGAGAAACAATTTTCTCCTTGCTCCAAGATGAAGCAATAGAATGTCATTGTCTTCCACAAAATATTCCTCAACACCAAGCCAAAAGAACCCCAAGCACGAAGGAAACAGCAGTTTAAGGGGTACGAACTGAAGCATTTTTATTTGTACAATGTCTAATCTAAAAAAGAAAGCAGTATTGCACTGAAACACTTTGTTCCTTAGAGAGAGAGAAAACCTTTTTCTTTTTCTGCGGTCAATTTTGTATTTATGTTTCTTTCTTT